AAATAGTATTACCTAAGTAAGCAGGAAATACAAGCAAGCGACTTCCAAAAAATATGAGAAATGACAGAAACAGCTGGATTCCTGGACAGTCACTCAAGATTTCTTTGCAACATTGGGGCATTCATATTTGGCCTAAAGGCCTAGCATATCTGACAGACTCATCTTTGAAGCAGGATTTTCTAAAGGGCCCTCCTACCTTGTCTTGGCAAAGATTAGTAGTCCTTTCTTCTGTGTCCTGCTTGTCCATTTGGACTGCATACTGTCAGCAGTCGATGCAAGGGAATTTTCTTGCCCAGTGGCTAACTTTTGCCACAAAGAAAGTAAACTCCATATGGAGTTTCTTCAATGTCCATCATCTTCTCTGAAGTAAATTGGTGCTGCCAGGAGCAGACATGCCTCATAGTCATAAAAAAAGAAAAAGATCTATGTTATCAAAACATTTATGCCATGTTCTATAGATCTCTGAAGTGTTTGAAGATGACCTGTCTATCTAAAATATATTTCTGATCTTGATAACATACCTAATGGCTATAAGTTCAATTGTAATGACTAACTACTAACCTGCATTTCTTTATTATTCAAAGTAGTTGGTAATAACTTTCAAGGACTAGAAAATTGCATTACATTGTTAAATGAACTATACAGGTATAATACCTTGAACAAGATTAGAAATACATGTACAGTATTTTCTAACAAAATCAATCTCAAATTTGTATCATTATATATAATTTGTATACAATATACAAAAATCAAATCCAATGTAAAATATTTAAAACTAGTAGATGCTTTCTAAAAGTAGATTCAGTAATCTAACTTAATTTTTTCTTTTCAGCATAGATTCAATAGTCTACCCTTTATCCTATCATTTCTATATCTTTTTTTGTAGATTCAATAATCTACCTTTTATCTTATCATATCTATATTCTCTTTTTTCTAGTTTTTTTTCAAACAATAACCCCAAATCTAATTTCCTTTGTTTAGCTTTTTTCCTGACCATTAACAATTAACAACTTGAAACCAACCATTCTATTCAGTGACAATTATCCATAACCCATTGAATGACCAAAAACTACCCACCCCACCTCTTGGGAATGTGGGCATCATGTTCTTAAAATTGCTTCCTGCTGTCTGGGGGTGACAGCATCTTTAGGGGATCTTGAAAAGACAAATTTTGGGTTAATTGTCAAGTCCTTGGAGAGGTAGCTGTATCATTTGTTGTCTCGTCTCTGCATAATGGGAAAATGCAGGGCTTGTCTCAAGTACTTTCTTGAGTAGTCAGAGAGGCTGGATCATTTCAGCTAGCCATCTCAAAATTGTCCTGAGGAGTTTGTAGTCCAAAGCTGATCTTTGGGTGATGTTTGTCAGCTTAGTGGTATTATCATCATCATCCTGATGGAATCGTCACTGTGGGGCCCAATCATCTTTTTGGTGACTTCAAAGTCATTGTTAGGCATGGTCATGGTTCCCTGCAGAAAACTGATAGAGATTCAAACCCAAAATCATGTACAGGAAGCTAGATGAAGCCTTTTTTTCTAGAATTAGTAATCTATATGACCATTAACATCATGACAAAAGTTTAATTTTACATATATATGTATATATATATACATATAGATAGGTAGATATAATATATATCTTATAAATTTTGGTATAAAATTTATACCTTAAGAAAAGTTTTAAGAGTCAAAATAAAACCAAAGAATTATGAGATTAGTGGCAATATAATAGTCCTTTAATGTTGTTTTTTCTTCTGCATCATATCATCTGGCTCTTCTGACATGATACAGAGATTTTGCATTTACTTTTAGCAAGCATGCTTCGGTTTAGAGAAGGAGACGGTCATGCTCCAACTCCAAAGCCAGCTTTAATTTTTAATTGAACTGGAACTATATAAAGACCACCTTTGTTAAGTGTCTGTAGAGAAGAGCAGAAACAAATATTTAGGAAGACTTATGATTTTTTTATCCTGTTAGATATGTAATATACTAATTGGCCAACTTACTCTTTATCTTGGGAAATATTTTCTCGATGATTTGTCCTTTTTCTTCAGATGTCTTGTTTGTCCAATTTTCTTCATATTCCTTAGCCTTCATTCTCCTGAAAGACAAAACCAAAACCTTTCCCCAACGCTAACTTTGGGGAGATTCTTTTTTGGCAAGTTATAGCTGATCAAATAAAAAGCATTTGTTAGTGGTATAAGTTAGTTTAAATTGAATGGTCATATTGGTTGATGAACTATCACCTCTTCTAATTAAGAAGTATTTCTTGTTCAAATCGAATCTTTATCAATTTTGGTGTTATTTATAGCTTTTCTTCTCCCGTAGAAACAAAAGCAAAACCTTGTCCCCAATGTAACACATATACTGGTTTCTGTTTTGAGGTCAGCACATGTCTAAGGTATATAGGCTGATTTAAATCTGTAGTTTTTTTCTATTATCCAATGTCTCTCCACAGCCATTGTTCCTTTCTCATCAGTACTGAGAAAATTCAAATAAAGCATTATGTAATCTATTTCTGGGTTTTGTTTGTTACCCCTTTCTGTTTATTTAGCATATCCTTTAGAGTTTTGTTTGATCTTTCCATGACTACTTGGCCTGTAGGATGTACTATAATATGCTTTATTTGTAATAAGCAAAAAACTGTTTCATTTTACCAGAGACATATGCAGGAGCATTGTCAGTTTTAATTTGTGCAGGTATACCCATGATGGCCATAACTTGTAGCAAATGTGTGATTACATAATCAGTTCTTTTGGAATTCAGAGCAGTTGCCCATTGAAATCCTGATTAGGTATCAGTAGTGTGGTGTACATAATTCAATTTTCCAAATTCTACAAAATGAAACACATCCATCTGCCAGATTTCATTCCTCTGTGTAACCTTTGGTTTACATCCTGCTGGTAGTAGAGTTTGATTGTAAAAAGAACAAGTAGGACATTTCCTTATAATTCCCATGGCTTGTTGCCAGGTTATAGAAAATCCTTTTTTTAAAACTCTTACTATTGACATTTTTTTATGAAATTATGATGCCTCCAGCACATTTCCTATCAATAATTTATCAATCTCATCATTACCTTGTGTTGGAGGGCCTGGCAGACTCATATGGGATTGGATGTGAGTTATACATAAGGGATGATTCCTATTTCTGATTATTTCTTGTAACTAAATAATTAGTGAAGTTAATTCTGAAGCATCAGGGATAAATTCTGAAGTTCCAATATGTAAGACCACTCTTTCAGCATACTGAGAGTTAGTAACTATGTTGATAAGGATCTGCAAAATCCATTAATGGCATATAAAATATAAAAATTCATTAGAATGACATAAAATTCCAATTTTTGGACAGAATTACAAGGACTTTCAACTACTTTACTTAAATTTTCTGATTTGTAGCCTGCCTTTCTTTGTATTTGGTGTGTGTGTGTGTGTGTGTGTGTGTGTGTGTGTGTGTGTCTGTATAAAATGTAGAGGCTCCAGATATTGGTGTTTCCTATACAATGAGAGTCAGGATCCAGTTAGGTCTCTTTATGAGTTTAAGTCTATCACTTTTGGGATATTTGTTGTTAATCTCTCCCAAAAAATTATTGCAAGCTTTTTACCAAGGTTCACTTTCTGCCCATAATTTGTCAATTTTATCATTAGTTAAAAGTACTACAATTTCTGCTCGGTCGGTCTATTCCTGCTAATTGATGAAGTATCATTTTCCCTTTTAAAATCAACTCAGAGATCTTTTCCATATAAGTTTTTACTTTTTTACTCTGTTTATTTGGTAGAAATATTCATTCCAATATAATATCTTCCCTCTGCATTAAAATTCCTGTAGGAGAATGCTTAGAAGGTAAAATAACCAAAATACAATTAATCAAGCTTTGGATCCACATGATCCACATATGCATCCTGTATTTTCTTTTCCACCAAAGCCAATTCTCTCAGCTTCAGCTGATAATTCTCTTGGACAATTTAAGTCCTTGTCACTCTCTAATGTTTTGAACAAATTACTCTGTTCATCATTTTTTACCCCAATAGTGATCCATAGACTGGAAAAGTCTCTGAATATTCTTTGAAAGTCATTAAGTAGCTGTAATCGATTTCTCCTAATTTGCACCTTTTGGCATCTAATTTTTTGTAGACATATTTTATATCCTAAATAATTAATAGAATCTCTTTTCTGTAACTTTTCAGAAGCAGTTTCTAATCCCAACAAGGCAAATCTTTCTTCTTTAACATTTTTCTAAAGTATTTACATTTGAATCAACTAGTAAAAATGTCATTCATGTAATAGTAAATTATAGATTTAGGAAATTGTTTGCATATTACTTCCAATGGTTGTCATACCAAATACTGGCACAAGACTGGGCTATTTAACATTTCCTGTGGAAGACCCCTCCATTGTTATCTCTTGACTGGCTGGTAATTATCATCAGTAGGTACCGTGAAGGCAAATTTTTCTCGTTCTTTTTCTTATAATGATATTGAGAAGAAACAGTCTTTTAAATCAATAACTACAAGAGGCCATCCTTTAGGTAACAGAGTAGGGAAAGGAATTTCAAATTTTAGAGAGTCCATTGGCTGAATTACTTTGTTAATTGCTCTTAGATCTGTTACCATTCTCCATTTACTAGATTTCTTTTTAGTAACAAATAAAGGAGAATTAGAAGGGCTCGTTGATTCTTCAATATGCTGAGCATTTAACTGCTCTTGTAACAGCTGTTCTAAGGCTTGTATTTTTCCATTTGTTAAAGACCATTGCTGAATGCATACAGGTTTGTCTGTTAACTTTTTTAAAGGTAGGACTGTTGGTGTCTTTGAAAGATCAGCAGCTATTGTTCCCTGTTCTTGTACAATATGGATGGTCGTGACTGTTCTTTATAATATCTTCTAATATTGTTCTCAGAAACATGTTACTTTATGGTTTGTTTCTGAGGTTGAAGGATTGTTAATTTGGGTATTTCCTTGTTGTAATAAATCACATTTCCATAGATTCATAGCTATGTTAGCCACATATGGCTTTAATTTTCCTCTCAGTCCTTCTGGCCCTATACATTTGACTCTTCTTGCACCTCATTTCACTTGAGATAACATTTCAGTTCCTAAGAGCTGAACATTTACCTCCTGAAGAGGCCAATTTGAATACCAAGATGCTGGTGAAATTATTATTATGGCCATACCTGTGTCTACAAGACCTTCATTTATAGAAGCTTCAAAAATTCACTTTATGGTTTCTTCTGAATTTTTTGTTCTCTCTACTATAACTGTTCTATCACTCTGAGCAGTATGGCTTTTTTACAATAGGGATTTGGTCATTTAACTGCTCTGGAAAGGGTTTCTTTTATGATAGCAGGAAAGGACTGAACTGAGTTTGTCATGGGGGCCTGTGAGAGGCCCCTCAGGGAGTTTCCCAATGGCAAAGGCAAATGATTATCTTGTATGTCCCTTGTTGATCTATATTCATTAGTTCAATGTTTGCCTTTACCACACCTTCTGTATATTCCAGAAGGGCGGGGTATTCTGTTGGGATTATTCCTTGAATAAACCTTGTTTATAGGTACACCCTGTTTACAGTCCCTTTTTAGGTGACCTTGTTTACCATAATTGAAACACCTGACATTACCATTTTTCTTCAAACCTCTGGAAATCACCTCTCCTATCCAAGCATCATCATGGTCATGATATTCAATATTGACTATCTTGGATCCATTCCTCCAAGGGTGCTGATCTTGCCTTTAATGGCCTAATTATTCTTTTGCATTGTGCATTAGCATTTTCAAAAGCCAGAGATTCAATTATTATCTGTCTAGTTTCTAAATTTGTTATCATTTTCTTTACTGCTGAAAATAGCCTTTGTAAGAAATCCATAAAGATTTCTTTTGGGCTCTGTATATCTTTTGTAAATAACTCAATTTTCTTTCCCACTTCCTCAATTCTGTCCCAAGCATTCAAGGCTGCCTTTTGGCATAAAGTTAGGGTGTGGTCATCATATAAAGATTGTTTTTGTGTATCAGCAAAAGCTTTCTCCAAGAAGTTGATCTTGGGAAATTTCCATACCTCTAGTCCTATTCATTGTTGAATTGTCTTAGCCTCATCTTTCAATCAGGTCCTCCATTGTAACTAGGGACTAGCCTCTAAAACAGTTTTACCCAAATCTTTCCAGTCTTCAGGTATAATTGTACGGAAAAGGGGCTGGCTAGAGAGACCCATCGTGGTGACCCTGGAGCCGAAAATTAGGGAAGGATGGCTCAGATAAGGCCAGTGAGAGAAACACGGTTTAGCTGAGATTAGTGCCATCTCTGCTCCTGTCTAACAGACTTGTGAAAACAACCAATCACAGAGCAGGACAGTAGAATCCTGGGCCCTAGGGTCCAGGACCAGGGAAGGAAACACAGCCTGTGTTTCGGACCTGAGCTAGAGAAATGAACCAAGGAAACATGCCCTGACTCTGAAACCAGTACCAAAAACCAAACAAACAAAAACAAACAAACAAACAAACAAAAACAAAAACACTCTTGGCCCCTAGAATCAGAGTCAGTGAATGAAATGTGCCCTGGCCTTAGAGGTAGTATCTAAAAGCTAAGTAAGGCCAGTGAAAGAAACACAGTTTAGCCCAGATCAGAGCCATCTCTGCCCTAGTCCAACTGACTTGTGAAACCAACCAATCACAGAGCAGGACAGTAGAATTCCTGCCCTAGGGCCCAGGACCAGGGAAAGAAACACAACCTGTGTTTGGCATCTGAGACAGAGAAGTGAACACTTTATCCCCAAACCCAGAACCAATGAAATATGCCCTGATTCTGAAACTAGTACCAAAAGAACACTCTTGGCCCCTAGAAGCAGAGTCAATGAAAGAAATGTGCCCTGGCCTTAGAGGTAGTGTCAAAAAGCCAAGAAAGGCCAGTGAAAGAAACACAGCTTGGCCCTGATTTCAGGGCCATCTCTGTCCCTTGCCCACAAAACTGGCCAATCTCTGAGCAGGAAAAAAACTAACGAATCACAGTTGACTCTGTCCCCGGACATCCTATATAAACCACCCTGCCTGGTCAGTTGTGACCTGTTCTCTCCACCCTGGTAGAGGCAGCTACTCCCCTGGACTCCTCCTTCCCAAACAAATCTCTTTCCCAGAAGAGTTTTGGGTGAAGACCTTCATTCACTGGTGCACAGAAGAACCTTGCTGGGACATCCCATAGTGGATTGAACAAGGGGAGAGCTCAACAGAAGAACCTTGTTAAGACATCCCATAGTGGACTGAGCAAGGGGGAGCTGAACAGAAGAACCTTGCTAAGATGTCCCATAGTGGACTGAACAAGAGAGAGCTGGTAACACTGAGCTGGAGATTGCAGCTCTCCAGGAGAAGAGCAGGATTGCTATATCCTGCAGGGAGAACATTTGCCATCACACCAGGTTTAGCCCGGCTTTCCTGAAGAGTCAAGATACCTTTCCCTGCTGAAGCAGTTCCAGGCCTGACTCTGCTGAGAAGTCAGAAAAATTTCCCTTCCAGAGTTGGGCTGTTTCTTTGCAGTTCCAGCTGTCAGAGTTGTGCTAAACAGCTCTAGGTGTCCGGGACACCTTCGGGGCAGAGCTGTTGTTCTGAGCAGCTTGAGGTGTCCTGGATACCTTGTCCTCCAGGGCTGAACTGTCTCTTTGCAGTTTCAGTCATCACAGCTGTGCTACACAGCTCAAGGTGTTTCCTGACTCCCTCAGTAGTCAGAACACCAAACCCACAGAGTTGCAAAACTCACATTCTGCAACCAATTTACTAACAATAATTCTATTACAAGTTGACCATGAGTTTAACATTTGCTTCACATATGGAGAATACATATCATATGACACTATAGCTTCTTTGAATCTCCTCAAATCTAACATTTGCACAGGAGTCCAATCAGCTTATACACAGCCTTGAACATTTGGCAGTTCCAGTAAGGTTACTGGATAGATTAAGGTTGGCTGTTTGAAAGTGTTAAGCTGTTTCTCTATAACCATATAATGCAATGTTGAGATAGGTTCACCTTTAAATTCCTCTGTCTGGTCTGAATTTCTCCACGGTCTGTTTTAACACATTTTTCTAAAACTTTTATCTCAGCACTCATATTAACCAACCTTTTTGATGATAAAACAAAAATGATCAAACAAATAATACTTATAATTGATGTTACACAAATCCCATCAACATTAATTAACTTCTCATGTAATTGTTCCATTTTCAGACCACCTAATGGGTTATCAAATAGAGACCAAATTCTCTCCATTGTAAAAATATTTCCCATTTTTTAAGGTGGGAAAAAATTCTCTTTTAATTAATTCCTCCCTTTAAGAAATCTTAATTGATTCATCAAATTTGCTGACAATGATGCTGCAGATGTGAGGCTGACTGCTTTTGCCTGGAGCAGTAGAAGCCTGAATGAGTTTCAAGGCAGCTACATAGTGTGGTAGCAGTCTGAGATGTGGATCAAGAGAGAGCCCACAACCCACTAGGAGAGAAGTCAAAGAGACTCCAGGCCATGTAGGGTGGAGACTCTGACCATGTTGCAGCTTGAGTCTGAGCCGGGGGCCTGCAAGGCCACAAGCAGCTTTTTAGTAAATTCATGCCACAAATGTTGGCTCTCCAGATATAACAAGAATTGCTATATGGTCTTATCAATAAAAAAAACCCAGAGCCAGATATTGGGGTAAAAGCTGAAAGATCAGAGAGACAGAGCAGCAAGCTACTAGTCCTCACCCCCTACAAAATCTGCTGAAAGAGAGCAAGCTCCTCTCTCCCCCCTGCCTTATTACTTCCTCTATCTGCCCAGGTTTATCACTAGTAAGATTGGCAGGGCCAGAACACAAGGAGCACTGCTAGCAAATAGTGTCTGATGCACAGGACTGGACAACTGCACTCATGAACTCAAAGCAGCTATGGCTGTCTACTTAAGACTAGTACAAAATCAAGCCAGACAACATGGAATGGGGAGAGGCTATCCCTAGCTTGAGACCTACAAACAACTGATAGCTTCTGGGGGAGAAAAAGTCTATTTTTTTCATGGGTGAGGCCCCTCATAGGTTGTTCATCTCCAGTGGATGGTCTCATATCCATGTTTAAATGTGCAGCACTAATTAGATTCCATAGATTATAAAGAAAATATAAGTGTATGTGAAGTTCATGGGGGAATGATAGATGGAGGAGACCAGGAGGAAAAAAAGGGAGATGTCAGGAGTAGATATAATCAAAACACATTTTAAAAGTAAATTCTATACTTAATCATTGTACTGAATTTTATTTGTTTATTAGAGACTGTGCATACAATATCTCACTTCATGATCATTGAAAATTTTTTAGTATGATGAATGTTCGCAATTAAATCCTATTTACACACTTGCTAATAAGATAACAGAAAATTACTCACACTTTAATTGATTTCTTTTTGCAGGCCTGAAGCTAAGCAGGAACATTAATTATGGTCAGTTGAATGCCTTATGCCACATTAGAGAACGACAGAGCAGGCAAGTTACTCATGAGTTTCCTTTTCTGTCATAGAGAAAGCAATACCACTGCTTGTTTATGGATAAATTATAGTAATGAGACACACAAGTACTTGATTTACCACATGGATAAATACATTTGAAACTCTGGGTTTATTTCTATATATTGAAAAGGTAGTATATATATGTATGTATATATATGTATGTATATATAGGACATATTTTAAGGAAACTGATTTAATATGGAATAAACATAAAGCATTCCAAACTGGGCAATTTTTATTACTCAAAAAACAGTCATAAGGAGAAAGACTTAAATGGTTGAAAGGTCTGGAGAAAGGGAAATAGGAACTAGTCCTTTCCAGAGTTTAGAATTTCTAAGAGGCATGAGAATTGAACACAGAACTTTAAAATGTATTTTGTTGCTTTTTAAATTACTGTCCTATTGCTCTGAAGAGACACCTTGACCAAGATAATGCTTATAAAAGAAAGCATTTAGTTGGGAGCTTGGTTACAGTTTTAGAGGGTTAGTCCTTTATCATTATGAGGGAAGCAGATAG